TGAAAGTCGTTGTTCTATCGTTAATCGTATCGCATCGAAGCATTTTATCGTTACATATACCGTAAGTTATAACGGCTTCAGGTATTGTCTTGAGTGCATCGAGCTTTAGAAGACATCAAAGAGTGAATATATCTGCCCCACTTTGACTAATTTTAAGCCATGTCACCAAGAGACCTCAGGAACCCCAGTCACGTAGTCTACATCTCCCACCACAGTGAAGACCAAAAGTCAGAGACTTCATGGACAGGTGTCACGTCTTTATCTAACCGCCCTGAACTGTCTTCCAATCTAATTCAACTTCTAGCACCGATAACGAACTATACGTTTAGATGGTAGTTTACAATATCACAGGCTAAATGAAACACGTAATGAAGTGCATGCTGAAGTTAACATGGCCAAAGTAACATTGTCAACATGATTACAACGCAGGAGGAGGATGATACTGTTTTACTTAAAGGCAATTAGGACTGGCCAAAGCTGAAGGAAAGTTAGGTGAATTAGAATTTGCTGATGTATGAATTGTAAAATTAACGATTAAGTATTTATCCCGTTTTTTAGTTAAAAGCTTGTTATGTTATCTCAACTTAAGCCTTTCTGGCCTAACTTTGGTTGAATACTTTATTTCAAGTACTGTTCTAGTGGCAACTTTCACTTAACTGTGAATAACATGGTTAGCAATAATTATGTTTGCGGTCAACGCAACTGTCGATTCTCAGTCGACTAAGGTATGTAATGTGATGCACGTGGATGTTGGTTCCACAGTTTGTACCGGACTGACACCAGCCGTTTATACGCGTTGTAGTATATCAGCTTCTTATGCGATCTGCTGTAAGCCTTTGTCAGCTCTAATTTAGGAAGCTATCGAAATGTTACTGGGCCAAAAACACTCGTGTGGTCAGTTTAATACAGTATCAGATGATGACACCACAAGTGTTAGTGTCGATACTTCCGACACAATACCTAAGATTGAGCTAAGGTAGCCTACTAGCGATTTAATCGGTGAGGCTAAACTAGATCTGACGCGTAGTCGACGTAAAAGGAAACCAAGGGTGACTGGCACATCAATTATGATGCCCAAGGACTCCCCGAAAGATTCATTTCTGTTAACAAGGTTGACCCTACGAGGGCGATTAGTGAAACCGATTGGATTTTTTCTAGAAAGAGTTCGATACCTTTAAAGGTTATCACTGAAACTACTAATGTTATGAAACCTGTTGCGAAAGCTTCGAAAGCCATCAACAAGAGGTCCAAGGAAGTCCCACCAACCTCTGAAATCTGGTGTCGAGAAGCCGGTGAACAAAGACCCTTAAATACGTCATACGAATGATCAGAAGATAGTCGAGTCAACCATAAGATATATTTTACATGAAATGTCTAAAGGAGTACACATCACCAAAGTAATCAGGTTGAGGGAAAAAAGGATGACCAACCCGATTATGGGATTTTAAAGGTTGTTCTGGGCAACAAAGAAGTGACTATGCTCTTGAAAAACATTCAAACTACGAAATTCGGACATCCACGTCTGACCAGACTGGGCTTTCAAGAACCGGATAAAAAGAAGCGATCGCTGAACCTAAAGCTCGACAAATTAGTGGACAGAAATCTTAAAACCGTGGGTTTTCGCGTTGAGGTCTTGGAAACGAATGTTTCCAAGGCTTGAGTGGGTGGGTCATGGGACTCTTCAAACACTGCGGATGTAGTCCCCCCCTCCAATGTTCGCAGCACTAGAAATAAAATGACAGACCTCGAGGCTTAAGTCAGTGAACTAGGTCCTGATGTAGTGGGCCTTATTGAAACCCAACTAGTAAAGGATTTAGACTTTACGTCACTCTTAACATGGTGTTTTTCCATACGGCCAGATAGGGTTGTGGGTTGCAAAGGTGGCGGCATACTACTTTACGTCCGTAGTGATATCCACATACAAGTAGTCATTTCAGAAGCCTATAAATGCGGTTGTGAGCTGAAGTCAAAGCAAGGTTTCTGTACTATTGGTGTAATTTACCGCAGATCATCTAGCCTTGCGAATGACGTGCTAACCCATATGTAACTGGAGTGTAAGCAACAGGTCCCTAATAGTTAGGGATCTGAATGCTCTACACATAAACTGGACGGGGTTTACTGTCTTAGCCTCGGGCAATTGCATTCGAAATGATTCGCTTTTAACGTTACTAGAATCTGCTTTAGTTCAAAACGTAACTTGTGCAACACGACACAGTTTTGAACACAAGTCGTCGTTATTACATTTGGCTTTAATTCACCAATGAGATGTTATGGACCTAGGATACTTCCCTGCGTTAGCTCCGAGCGATCATGCAGTGCTGAATTCCGAATGTATAAGTTTGATTATAACACTGTTTCCCCCAGACCTGTGTGGCGCCCAACCATCCCAAGTATAAGGGACTGCACAGTCGGTAAGGAGTGAATTATCAACAACGATTCATCAATCGAGAACGCTTGGGATAGGTTGAGAACTTTATTCGAGGAGGTAACAACGCCATATACTCCATAGTCGGCCCCACGAAGAATCACATAGCCCCTCGTGGTCTGATAAAGGTGCTCAAAAAATATTAGGGTGGAGGAAACGTTTATGGAACTTGTCTAAAGAAACTGGACCGAAAATATTTAAAACTGGGTACTGTCAAGTCCGTTATCTTAGCAAAACTTCGACCGCACAGTCTCGAATGCCTTATAAAAAATATTTTTTAAGTAAATGCTAAAACTGTCCTAAAGGACTGTTCGCACTCCTTAGAAAGATTAAAAGGAAATGCAGAATTCCCTCTGATAACAGATGAAAGTTTAACAGTCTGGTGGGATCTAATCTGTTCAAAGCGGAATGCCTACCGAATTACCTTAATGAAGCCTCTGTAGATCATGACAGTGAAGTGCTCAATAATGATGTCCACTGTCCCACCAGTGAAGACATTGTTCATTACAAGGGAAAGTCTTCCAGATGTTAATTAATCCGAAACCTGAAAAATCCCCGAGTCCCGATGAGTTACACCCCAGACTAGTGTCTTTGCTAGCTGACAATGTTGATGAGCCAGACAATTGTGTTTGCAATATGCCCTTATCTCAGATTCCCCGCTCAAGAGAATGAAAAAATGATATAATCAGCCCAGTTTTCAAAGCTGGTAGTCACTAGTTGATGGCTTACTATCGCCCTGAGTCTAACGAACTTAGTTATTAAGGTTCTAGAAAACGTAATCCGTGACAAGGAACACCATATCGAATCAAATAATCCTTGTCACCACAGCAACACGGTTTCCGTACCGGCCACTCCTGCTTAATAAACCTCATCACGAGAGAACGGATTGCAGCTTGCCAACAGACGCCGTGTTCACAGACTTCACCAAGGCATTTGATAAAGACTTACGCAAAATTACTGAGAAAGCTTTCTTCTTTCGGGTTTAGTGCTGTACTGCAAGCTTGGATAAGGGGATTTCTGTACGATCTAAGGCAGAGTGAGGGTTAATGAGACAGTTCAGGTGGAAAGCTGTGACGAGTCGAGTTTCTCAAGGAAGAATCCTACATCCCCTACTTTTCTTGTCAACGAATTGCCGGAAATGCTCAACCCTTCGGTGCTGCTATTCGCCGATGTAAATGTTTGAAGATTTATACGTAATGATGCTGGTAGGTATGATCTTCAAGCGGATTTGGATGGAGTAGTAGTTTAATTCAAACCTTGGTGCATAGAAATTAACTTTAGCAAAAGTGCAGTGATGCACACTGGTCATAGCAATTGTTTCCAGTATTCCGTTGATGGTGCACTACTACTCCCAGTCTTTGGACTGAAAGACTTAGGTGTCGTTGTCATGATTTGAAAACTTCGGCACACTAATGCAGCTGCAGCAAAAGGCTTCCAGGTATTATGGCCCATGCGTGCGACTTTCAGAAGTTTTGATCAGGAAGCATTCAGCATACTCTATTCTACTTACGCTGGACCTCGCTCTGAATACAGCATTCAGGCGGCCAACCTATGCTTAAAACAGGATGCCGATGTACTCAAGCGAGTTTAAAGATTAGATACTAAGCTTATGATAGACCTTTTAAATTTGCCCTATGAGGAACGATTAGATCGGCTAAACCTATCCCCAGTGTTTTAACGTGGGATATAGGTTGATCTCATACTGGTATTCCGTATCATTAATGACTTTAGTACTGATGTGTTCTATCTTTTCTCTGCTACTAGAAATGACTGTTTCCGACGGCATCACAAAGAAACCCAAAAACGGCGGCAAATCGAGTTAGCGTGAGTCTGCGTTTTTTCCATGGCGTAGTCAATGACTGTGGACTCCTTATTTCGCCAAGTAGTCTCAGCAGCTTCAGTTAATGTGTCCACAAGAAAAGGATCTTCGCAGAGGTGTCTTATGCAAAGATTGACACAGAACAACTGGACTACTATCCCTATTACTGAAAACAAACTGTATCTGTTCTGAAACGTCAGATAACATTCCTACTTCCGCATAAAAGCTAGTGCAATGCTTTTCATGAGGAACATGCGGAACAACCACCCTAGAAAGACACATGAGAAAAGAGATAAAGACATAGGAGTTAGGACATCACTAAACAGTTGTTGGCATAACTTCATTTTATAAATCCTTGTATTAAGAGATACGAAATTAGTGACTAAGTATTTGTGTATTAATTCAACGAACACAAAAGCAGTCGTCTCAAAGTGTGCGCGACCACTTTGACTATTACAGAAGAATTCCAGAGACGGTAGTTACTGTCTACAATTTTGTAAGACTTTAAGTAAACGGGTAACAGACCACAGCAAGATCATATGAACTTGGGTTAACGAAGGACTTAACGATGCATTTCTTGTATCTCCACCTCATATCTCCACTATAAAATTTGTCCAGCGTTTATATTAAGTGAACGTCCAATAAATGATAACGGGACTAATTGTAATGACTACAGTGAAGACTAAATAAAGTCGAATTGCAAAGCATTGCAAATCAAATTAAACATCATTGAGTGAAAAAAAAAAGTGATTTTACTTTACACAGGTATCCTATAAACCACCCGTCTGAAATCAACTAGTTGATTTTACTTTCCTAAGGAATGCTACGTACACCATGCATAAAACATTCGGAATCGCGAAACAAACGTACCTCATCCGACCATTTGAAACAAATGTCCCACAAAGGTAAGTAGTATGTAAAACACTTTCAATGTGTGAAATGAAGCATTTTAAATTTAAAAACCCGTAACTTCATTTTGCAGAAATGCTGAACGATGTTTCCATGGGTTAAGCATCTGCCTTAAGGAAATTTACTCCTTTCTGTGAATGTCCAGTTGTTTCCTCAGTTCAGAGAAGCATGAAAAGAGAAATAATAATTGAAAAATTATTAAGCTACCTATATGCAGCACTACTACTAATAGTCTATGAGCAAACGAGCGGCTTCTTGTGCAGAGCTTATCTGTACCATGGGACTGAGTGTGCATTTGACTTCTTTGTACGAGTAACAGAAGAAGAGAAACATTTTTTTTATTTCTTTGGAGTGTGAAAAACTTTAGGAACTGTATTCAGCAGTATGCGTGCCCTAACTGCTTTGGAATAGGTGCTGATGTTCTTACGTGCTTTCTGATGCTGTTATCTTGGGAGGTGGCCTGTCAGGTTAAATTTCTGATTCAAGCTTAAGAGAGATTTGTTTAAATGAAGCGGACTATGGGCGATTTAATGCATAGCGACCACATCCCGTCAAATCCCCCTTTATTGCACTGGGAGTGGCACAAGAGTCACCAGGTGATCTAGGCAGGGTTTCTGTCACTAGCCGGTCAGTTTGTTTTCAACTCTTCTCTGAACCCATTCAAGAATCCCAGTGTAATTCTTCAATAATACGAATGTTGGTGCAAACAAACTGCCAAAACCAATAGCCTAAGATGCAAAGAGACTTAAGATTGATGCTAACCTTCATAGTATCAATCAACTGGATAAGTTGGAGCCATAGGTCCAAGTATCCATTCCATCTGACGCGTTGTCCTAGTATTTTGCGTAGCTCGTAGGCGGCCTTCTAGCCAGTTAGTCGGAACTCATCGGTATTAAGGTACAGTCTACCGAATGCGCCATTCCTACTTGGCCACCCTGTGGTGTCCTTCCTTATATTACATGCGCGAAGAATTATGGATTGCCTTCCATGTCTGTCAAGTTCACGTATGGACAGCACTAAGGCTGGTGAGTCCCGTGGTGTCCGCTTTTGTGTGTTTTGTTTCCAGATCTATAGCTTTGTTCATTGGCATTTCAAATCACTGCAACCGTATCCGACCAGACTACCAATTTTATCCACGTTAACCTGACGACACAACTGATTCAGCTTGTGCCATTCCGGTCAGAAAAAGCAGAAAAATAGTTTCTGTGATCCGAAGCTGATTCCCAATAATAGTGCATCAAAGACACTCGTTTTCAAATTCTCACTTTCATAAGATAACTAACGCATAAATTAAACAGGCACGTTGCGGCACGAGTGTTTAGCTCTGAAGTAATTGATGCTTATGTGCCTCTCATGGAAGTCCTTCCGAAGAAAAAAGATGCTACAAATCATCAACGCATAGACGCAGTGCTCCGTAACTCCGAGCTAAGGAAAATTTGGGCTGCTCACGTTCCTGCATGAATGCGAGGAGAGGTTGGTCAACGAAAGTCCGATGATGGCCCATGTGCTTCACGTCTCACGACACTACCACAGCCAGCGCAAACCATGCTGATGACACTTCAGTTGGTTGCGATTGATGGCCTGGAAGTCCAAGCTTACAAAACACCTTTATTTATTATTGTTATCTGTCCCTCGGGTTCCTAGTGGAACATAGGGCTTCAGTGGCACGTTGCCATCCCACCCTCTTCTCTGCAGTCTTTGAACCTGACGCCGCGACTGCCCAGAAGCCTTCATTTCTTCCTCACACGATCCCCTCCATGTCAACCTCATCTGGGACGCTCAACTCGTCGTTTCGTATGCAGGTTCCCCTCGACGGCCTGGCCTGGCGCGTGATGTAACCAAGTGGTACTCTCGGTGTATGTCAAATCCAATTCATCCCCGCCTCCCCCTTCTGTATATTTGTTGGACGATAGCTTGTTGGTCGGTTGGTTCGTTGCCAGCCAGAGTGAGGTCCTTGTTGCTAATTCTTCCTGGCCTTCTGATCTTCAGTATCCAGCGTAGGCAGCTGTTGATGTCTGCAGTCTGTCGGAAATGCTTTTCGTAATGCACCAAGTTTCTCAACCATCACATAGAAGCACTGAGTTAGCTGACATTAGTGTTGAAAATCCGGATGTTGTTCACACTTTATGCTGAGTGGAGTGGAATGCAGTGCAGTGCTGTAGATCTCCACACTGACCTCAGATTAATGTAGGAAGGCCTGTCTTGCTGTCTTTCTGCTTCTGGCTGGCTTTGACATCCTCATCTGTGCCTATGCTGCCCGTGGTCGAAACGATGCTGCATGTCTAGGTGGGTGAAAGAGACTGCTACTTTCAAGTCTCTCTCGTTGGTGGTCATCGGGGCTCGTTGTTGTTAGTCGGGTACTTTCATCACCTCTATCTTCTCTACGTTCACTTGAAGTCCCGTCCTCACCACCTTGCCTCTCCTGTCACCTTGTTAGTTTTGCCCGTCGATCTTCCAGTTTATTTGACAAGACATTAGACATAAATCATCATGGGCGAAATCCAAATCCTCGAGGGTCTTTTCATCGGTCCGGCGTATGCCTGTCTTCTTGGTATTCACGGCTTGTTGCATGATCCATTCCAGGTGACTACAATCGGGAAGATGGTCAGTGATAGTGGGCGGCAACCTTGTCTTGCCCATGTCTTCAACTCAGAGGCGTCACTGAGCTGCTTTCCATTGTGATTCGCTCGGCATGCAGCATCATATAGCATATAGCTGCTGTTGAATGAGACTGATAGAGGTTTGTGACGCCAAAACTGTGGTGTCGAATCAGCCGGCCGCTAAATTACTTCTCGGCTGACGCTGCCGAAGGCCTTTCCGAAGTCGATGAAGTTGAAGTTGCGAAATGACCGCCATTCTATGCTCTGTTCTACAACGATGAGCAGCGTTGCCGTTTGGTCCGCACATGGTTTGTACTACCTGATACCAGCCCGTTCCGGTCGTAGTTTTGGATCCAGCGCATCCTTCGGTCTTTCCAGGATGATGCGGCTTGATATTTTGCTTTTTTGGGTGGACAGGAGCATGATTCCTTGCCAGTTCTTGCGAGGATCTGGGTCTCTGTTCTCTGGAAGTTTGCCAAGGTAGGCCTTCTTCCAATCGGTGGGTGGGTACCTTTCCTTTCTTCCTTCCTTCCAAACCTTCTGCAATTATGGTGTGAGTTTGCCCGCTGTTTCCTCTGCGTCTGTTTTCAGTGCTTCTGAAGGAGTTCCATCTAGTCCCGCCGTTTTACCAGCTTTCAGCAGCTTTTTGGCGCTCAGGACTTCGAATTTCTTCGCAGGGCTTGCGTTCACATGTAGATGGCATTTCCGCGCGTTGTGAAGGCGGTGGTCGATTCAAGAGCATTTTGGAGTGGTCACTCCATCATTTCCTTTGTTTGTTTCCGTCATCATCATCCTTTATTGGTTTCATGAGTGCTGACCTCTTCCCTTTCACATAGTAACCTGGTTATTTTATACAATTTTGTCAGGTCTTTCCTACCTGCAGTCTACCCTACTTCTCTTGCTAGTGTGTCGCAGAGGTGTCTTTAGTCTTTCTGCGCACTCTTCATCGCTTTTTTGTCCCGTGTTTTACACGTTGTACTCAGTTTCCCCTCTCGATGCTCATCCTTGCACTGGTTCATCTTCTGCTTCACCATCTTTCCCTCCCTGCTCTGTCAGCCTCCATGTGTCCATGGAGATCCATTCCTTGCCTTGTCCTGTTCCCTCTTCCTTCCTAACACAGTTATGCAGGTTTTTTTCCACATCTCTTTCAAAGAAATCTAGTGTTCATCCACACAGGTTTCTTCGGGGATGTTGCTCAATGTCTCCCGTTTTGCTCTGATGACTGACGCGAAGATGTCCTTTGTAGTTTCGTCTTTCAGTTTCCGTTTTGGGTGTTGAACCTGAACTGCGGTCTGCCACCAACTTCTGTGGAGGCTTTCAACTTGATTTCGAAGGCAGATTCCTTGCCACAGGTAGTGGTCTGGACCCTCATCCGCTCCCCTTCTTGATCTGATCTTGTGTCCAGTAGGCTGTGTCTCCACTTTCTTGAAATTGAGATGAAGTCGATCTGATATTTAGTGTAGTGTGTCCACCTGGCGAAATTATATCCACGTCGCCTCGTGAACATCCTTGTGTATGTACACAGTGCCTCCAAACACCAAGTCATTAAGTGCACAGAAGTCTGCTAACAGTTCTCTATTCTCATCCATCAATTCGCCGAGTGCTTCTCTTCCTGTGCTGTCTGCTCCCGGTTCGGCACTCACGTCGCCCATAAGAATTTTGATATCGCCAACTCAAGCTGGGTCTTGTTCATTGCTGATTGCAGTTTTCCGTAGGATTCCTCCTCCTCTTGATCTGCATTATTTGTAGGTGCGTGGCATTGTATGATTGTGACCTTCCTTCCTTTTGAGTTGAACCTTGCTGTCATGATCCTGGAGGAGATTGGTTCCCACTACATGAGAGAGCCTTCGATGCTGTTGGGGACATCATAACAGCCACTCCATAACTCAGTGTGCTGGTGGTTGTCGTTTGGGTGACCGGATCAGATTACTGACTCTGCAGTTGACAGTTTGGAGAGTCCACTTCCATTCCACCTGCTTTCGCAGATTCCTAGCACTTCAATGCGATACCTTCTCATCTCCTTTGCAATTTGGGCAGCCCTGCTAGGTTCAAACATAGTGCGGATATTCCATGTCCCCATGTTTACTTTCGCTTTCATCGAGAGAAGACAAGACACACCGGCCAATTGGCCTCCCAAAGGCTTTCACCAACCGGCATCATTTTGTCTCTCCGATTCCGGGGGGGATATTTTAATATTATTTTTCATAATTACTTTGTGCTTTGAAGTTTCTTTGGTGGTTAGATTGGTTTTCTGGGGTAGGTTTGCTAGCTCTACACCCAACCTTCACTCTTTACCCGGGCTTAGGACCGTCCAGTAACTAGTAAACTGGTCGTGTGTTTAGCTTCAAAGCACACCTGTGTCAGCTTATTTTCTGTTGACGAAAAACCTGTGTCAGGGTTCTGAAAC